TCTCTAGCATTAGCAAGTTTTTAGAAAGTTGATAATGTATTTGCTTCTTTCTTTCTCAAGCTTCTATGGCATTGCAATCAGTCAACTTTGATCAGTTTATGAAATGTGTGTTATAAGAAATAAACTGAATCCATTCTCTAAAAGGTCTCTAATGATATTGCACTAATCTCTGCTAATTATCTACCTTCTGGCAGTCAAATTAAAGAATGTTTAAGAAAAATTCTTCAAAACTGGCAATAATTTTATATAACAGTAACTTTTTTATGTTCCATATTTTGTGTTAGTGTGAAAAGTGGATCCTTGGTACATGTTTCTACTTGATGTCCTTTGCAGTGAACCCCTATCCTGTTTCTATTAGCATGAACTCATGCTCAGTTTTGCACAGGAAGGAAGAAAGGCAGGCAGGCAAGATGACCTGAAGCTTCTCTTTGGAGAGTCTATATCTCTTGACATTTTGCCAAGCAAGAAAAAGAAAAGCCTCTGACAAGCCACACAAGAAGCCCAACCAAATTCATAGCAACGATTTCTAATGATTCAGATGCAGACTTAATAAACTGAAGTCTTGAGGCTCAGCAGAAAACAATTGCATATAAATTATGGTCTAAATGAATAACAATGACTCCATTTAGTTTCTATGTGCCTAGCTAGGATTACTGTCTACATATGCAAGAAATTTTGCAGACATTTTACCATGCAGTCATAGGAACAGATACCCATGAGATACAATGGTATGGGAGATAGATTTTTCATGTGCAAATCAGTTTAAGATTGAGGGAAATCTTGAAAGGAAAATAAAGATATCATAGAATTAATATGAAGTGTCCAGATTGTGGTCCATGACACCTGTAATAGAAAAAAATCTGGAGAGATTTTGTACAATAAATTCATTCGAACTCAAGCTGAACTATCACTTAGCATGATGTATGAGCTAGATTCAGAGAACAAATAATAGACATAGTATGGCTTCTTCACATAAACCAATGAACCACATAATCTAATCAATCATATGTTTAGAAAATGGCTGGGTTATGTAAATATAGATCATACAATTAGTTTAGGTTTGTGTTACATAAACTCAGAAACTTGAATAATTCTATGTGCTCTGAAACTATAGTCACATTTCTCAAACCTGTGAGAAGAGTTACCTGAATACTCTTCTAGCATCCATTTCTTAAGACGTATCCGCATTTGCACCTCACCAAGCCAAAAACAAGCCCTGGTAACAATGTTTTTCAGTGAGTCCTCATGATGTTGCGTCCATATCACCTCCAGCCCATAACTGAGACAGGCTCAACCTGCCCTAAGCTGTATCTGTATTATAGTTTTTGCTTATTCCAATATCATCCAACCTCAAAGTATCTAAAATCAATTCAGATTGTATCATATATTATCATGGAAGGAAGTCAAAATACAAATATCATAGAATAGGATATAGATTGATGATAAGGACCAGAACAAGGCTGATTGCAATGCTACTTTCTGCTACTAATGTTGCCATTGCCTTCATGAGATCAGTCTCAGCTGCAGGACACTGAGGAATCTTTGCCAGACACAAGTCACTAAGAGGTAGGTCTGCAATCTGCACAATGACACATTCCACTTCTCTCTTGGGGTTTGCACAACTGTGCTTGAGTTGCTGACTCTGTCTTCTCTCACTGCACCATTTAATGCAAGCTCCCCTTGAGTGACACTGCTTCTGTTTCTCCTGCAATTTTGGCCTTTCTTTCTTTCCTCACAGAATCATCTTGGGGCCTTGCAACAAGGTCCACTACATCTAGCTTGGCTGCATTGTGATTCAGAAGAAGGTAGCAACACTGGGCAGAATCACAGAATCCCTTATTCACTGCTCAGAGGAGAGGCAAACACAGCTACTGAGGGAGATTTCTCCCAAATGTCAAGTAATGCCCACTTTGTGCAGCAGCTGAGAAAGGAGACCAACTGTTGGGTTTCCACATGGTAGCAGGTATAGGACCTGTGCCCATAACCAATATAACAATGCGGACTACAGCATGGATGGATAATTAGCCAAAGCATGCTGCCTTCCATCTCTTCTGTGCAATCAGTTGCTGGCATGTTGTATTTCCTTCCAATCAGCAAGCCACACATATGAAAACAGTTTGCATGGCATTTCTGCCATGGAGCCAGCAGATTCCATTTTGACTCTTCCACCATTAAATATCTGCACTGGAGCAAAACTGCTGAAAAGGCTTGACGTATCTCACAGATCAAAGTTAGATTCCTGATTCATCTATGCTGGGGACTTATGGCAGCATGAAGATATGGCCCTATGTGTCAGGCCCTACGAACCGAACAGTGGAATTACTTAAGAGTAGTTTCCTTCATGTATACACAGAACGTTGCAAAAGCAACTAAAGCAACTATTTGCATAACTACAAATATTTTCTGGGAAAAGCAAGGGAGTAGCCATATTAGCTCTCTTTCTGCCAACCAAACTTTCCAAACTCTGCTTCTTCTTTGCCCCCTGGAAAGCAGTCCCTCCTTTCTGGGAATCTAGACTGCATTCCACCACATGATCTATGTACCAGTACTCAAGGTTTAATAGTGTGTTATCTCCTCCCAAGATGATTCCCAAGAGCATCTGGAGATTATGGTAGAAGAGATACTCTTGAGCCAGGGCATTATAGCCTGCATAAACAACCCCTATTTGCTCAACTTTCATAGTAGCTTTACAGCAGAGGTGTCAAACTCAATTTCACTGAGGGCCGCATCAACACTGTGGTTGCCCTGGGGGGGTGGCCAGAGTGGGTGCAGTCTACTGGGTGGCCGTGGATGGAATGGGTGTGGCCTATTGGGTGGGCATAGCCGGCTTACATCATTCACGTCAAGGATGCCTGTGGGGGCCTGGGTAGGAGTGGGACAGATCTGAGGGTCTCTGGCAGAAGGAGGTGGGACCAGGGCAAGTGCCAAGGCATGGTCCACCGGACAAGTGCCAAGATGGCCACCACAAAATTGTACATTGGCTCCCGGCTCCAGGATGGCTTCGTGGGCCACATGAAACCATTTTGCGGGCCGCATCCGGCCCCCGGGCCTTGTGTTTGACATGTCTGCTTTACAGTACTGGGGGTAGCCTGCCCCATCGCAGCCACAGTGGCCATGCAGACATAAGGTGGGACAGAGCAGGCACATCTGGTGGGCTGGATCATGTGCCTCGCCCTCCCCCTCCCCCGGAGCCATCAATGCGCCTGCTGCTTGGAGAGCCAGCTCAGTGGTTGCAGAGGGCTGCAGAGCTCCAGTGTGTACCAGCTGAGGAGCTGGCGGGCTGCAGTTGCTGCCAGATACTGTTGGCCCCCATGCACTCGCCTCCTGTGCATGTGCCAGGGGGGCATCCAGCTGGGCGGGGCCAGGGTGGCAGGGACCGGTCCCTTGCTGTCGCTGGGGCAACCCAATGGGGCAAATCTGGACCCATCACGGGCCAGATCCTTGTGTTTGACATGCCTGCTCTATCCATACATAGAATAATTTGCTGGACAGTATCCTGCTATCAACTTTTATAATGTCATGTGCTATTGAATCCAAAGGAAACCATTAGGGTGCCTATACTGGTATTAGGGTAGTGCCTGTCAGTGTCATGTTTATTTCACTGAGTAGTACTACAGGAAGTACTACTACAAGGAAGAGCGTTGTGGCCTTCTCGTCTGCACATCTCCATCTGTAATCACCCATAAGTAAAATCTCACACTAGATTGCCATGGAGTGAATAGGCAAAAATTCTTGAGTGCCCTAATGCCAGGGAACAGCACTTTATTATTATTATTTTGATAGGTCTATCTGGCTAGGCAAATTCTTTGCCAGTCATTTCTGCATTTGTCCCTTGGAAGGGGTGGGCATGAAGTATTAGGACTGAGTGATGCTGGAGCCTGTGATTGTGAGGTTTTTATGTATCTGGGAGTGTTATTTCAGAGCTCTCTGGTTTTTTTTTTTTAATGCTCTCTGTGAGCTAGTAACAGTTATGGCACATAAAATGGATAGCTATATAACTCTCATAAACAAACAAATAAATAAATGCTCTTTAGAGAAGGGCTATCATCCATATAGGCAACTATTGCTAAGTAACAACACAGGTGCTGTGCAAACTTTGAGGAATGGATCCTCCTAGGCAAGGAAAAATGTGATTCAGCAGAAATGATACGTGCCCTAGTTGAAAGACATTCCTTAGCTTGCAAAAATCTTCTGCCAGCAGGAAATCCATCATCATTTGTGATTTAGGCTGCTGCACAATGTGTTAGAGATAAATGGAGAAACTTCCACCCCTTTGAAATAGGCCAAGTCAAGGAAACTGAGGCCTCTGGAACTTGTTTATAAGATACAGTGACAAGAAACAAAATCTTGAAAGCCTATCAGAATTCCCTTCTGGGTTCGAATGCCTTCTGGCAACTGCTTGCATGAGTCCCAGCAATTTTCTTGGCAAGATTTCATAGGGGTTTCCCAAGTGCCTAGTTCCTAGCTCTGAGAGTGCCTGGCCCAAGGACACCAAGATGCTTTTGTGTTTAAGGCACTAGAATTCAGCGTCCTGGTTTTTCAGGGAAAAAACTCCTTCCTGCTTTATCCCCCTCTTTACCCCAAGCCAAGTCAGAGGCTTGGCTGCATCTGTTTACCAGCAACAGCGGTAAGTTTCCCTACCACTAAAACTACCTCTCTTTTTTTTAAGATTTTCATTAAAACAGCAAAAGCGAATACAAACTAAATTCGTAAAAAGGAATAGAAAGAATAAAAGGTGCAAGAGAAAGCGGCTATATCCATGGGACAGAACAGATTCACTCCCCGCACCCACAAGAACAGCAACAACGCCTTTTTCCTCTCTGCCTTGCTAACAGGCCGTCGTTCCTTCCTCCGCCCACCGGTCCACGCCCCTCCCTCCGGCTCCACCCTCACCATCCCCTATAGCTCCGCCCCTCCCCAGCCTCGTGTAGGAAAGGTGGAGCTCGCGCATAAGGTCACAGCGGCCGTCACGTGAGGGGGGAAAGGGGGTGTGGTTTATATTCGTCATCTGACTGGCTGCAGCTGCCGGAAATCTCGCGCCTCTAAGAAGAGTGTCTGTGGGGAGGGGGGGAAAGATGGCGACAGAAAGGGAGCCCCCTCCTTTTGGAGACGGCAAGGCGACGGAGTTCGAGGAGCTGGAGGACGGGGAGGACCTTTTTATCAGCACCGTGTCTACCCTCGAGGTAAGGAGGAAGTAGTCGTGGTTTCTCCACTTTTCTCTCTTCTTGGAACTCCTTATTCTTCTCCCAGAGCAGCGGCTGGTGGGTTTGTCATGGCTGTACCTCCTCCGTCCAAGATGTTTTGACTTAATTTCTCCCTTCCTCAAACCTGGCTCGCTCCTACCTCCTCTTTCGCTGCCATTCCCTGGGCTGAGGCTCGCCAACCCTGGGTTATTCCCAGCTGTGAACACTTTCTAAAGCACTAAATTTTTAATTTAATTTTCCCCTCTTTGGGCAAGGACTGAGTGATTTCCTCAAGTAGGTTTCTGTAGTAGTGGCTGCTTCGCCTGGAAAATGAGGTCTCCAACTGCCAGCTGTTGGAGACCTCCTTGCAGTGTCTCATAGAGAAATTGTCTGTAAAAATGGCTTTCTGTGGATGAAGTGTATATGCTAGTATTCCTGAGCTATTTTTGCTGTTTCAAATATTCCTCAGCTGTTAGTGTCATAACTATTAAGGGGGAGGGGAGTTGCTAATTGGGGAATAAAGTGTTACTGGAAGATGTTCAAATACTTCTGAAGTTTTGTTTGGAGTTTCATCCAGTGAAATCAATGGGTTAACTCTTCAGGTGGCCTGTAGATGCTATAAATCTGATAAGAAATTGAAGGGGAATAGTATAAAGTGTGTATTTTTCAATATAGGATTTTGTTTATTAAATAACTAATGTCCTGCACAGCTGGTGAAAATTTAATTAGCTCCTGCACCAATTTGTGTATCTTGAATGCAAGTGTTTAAATTTATTTAGTAAAGGAAGCTTGATTGTGGCTTGTCTCATGTTAATCTTTATAGGTATAACACAAAATATTTGTAAATCAAAATGCTCTAATTTGTAAACAACTACATTTAGTATCTGTTTGCCGTATATGATAGATAAAAGCATTGTATAGAGAGCCTTCTCTTGCTGGCTGTTGTTTCCTAAACTTACTTCCACCTTTTTATGCTGAGTCAGTATTTTTTCCCTTGTGAAAAAAAATAGGCAAAATACGTAATGAAGAAAATATGCTTTTAGAAAATTGAAAATTGAGCATTTCTAAACTGCTCAGTTTAAAAATATAACACTATAAACAAGACAACTAGAAATAATTTGCTGGTATTAGATTTAATTATACAGATATTTATATTTCTCATACATTGCAGTTTGATCCTTAAAACTTTGTGGATGAAACTAGCAGCTGAAGTAGCTTTTATTAGAACAAAGACTCAAACAGCAGAAATTGTGTGGGTGTGTGTATATAAAATCAATGTGTGTTGAGTTGACTATTAATGTGAAAGAAATAGTTGATAAATGAGGGATTTGATATTTGCAGAATTTGATTTTATAACTAAATTGTAGGCTTAATTTTCTAGGTAAGAAGTCACTAATTTTTGAGCCCAACAACTCAATGCATGAGAGATGAATTTGAATCTTTGGTTAAAACCTTTGTTAATATGTTATTATCACAAGTTTTATCTCTACAACTATGGAACACTGCTGTTTATCAGAGTATGTTGTACAATATTCTTATAAATCTAAGAGCCCTATTTTGTTTCACTGAGTAATTGAAAGTTCAATGTTCAAATAACTACAGAATTATAGTAGCTTTAGTTATTTTTTTAATAAACCATTTCCCCTGAATTTGGTTCCATTTGTTAAGGCAGCATATCTGTATCCTGCAGGATTAACAAGCATGGGTTGGTGACATCAAAGAGGATATGAAAGTATTAATATTTAAAAGAGCTACACTAGAGTTGCACTGAAAGTATCTTATTAGTTTCTCCTTTCTCAACAGTGTTTCCTCTGTCAGATAATACATAAACGCTCAGATGAATTATCTGCAACCTAAACACAAAGCCTTGCATGTAATTTAAATCAACACTAATCTCTCTAGGAAAGCTCCCTATTATATATAATCACCCCAGGGAAATTAGTATAGGTGTGGAAAATATTTTGACTTCAGAATTCCTTGTTTTGAGCTGCTATAATCTTATAGGTGATCAATACATCTTGCATAGCTTTGGCATGTCTTTTATCTGAACAGCTTATATTTGGCACCCAAAATTTGATTTATATTTCTTTTTTTGATTATATGTGCCATCGTATATTCAAAAACTGAGTGCTGAATACTCTACTGCAGGCATGTCAAACTGCTGGCCCACAGGCCAGATGTGTCACGCTGAAACTGCGCCCACCCCATTGCCAGCAAAGGGGAAAAAATTGCAATATGTTGTGCGACGTCACATGACGTTGCAAGTTTGACATGCCTGCTCTACTGGTAGATTATGGCTTCACATACTAAAATGAATGGGCAGTAATGGTATCCCCAACCACAGAATGTTCATTACTTATAGTTTGGTAGCTTTAGTTTGCAGTTGAAATAGTTTTTAATCTTAAACAAGTAAATAAGGGTGACTTGCTAACAAACAAACTGGAGATCAGTTTTTAACTGTCCTGCCCATCTGATTTCCAATCAGCCCTCATAATTGGACTGACAGATAAAAGAATGGCTCTTCCAGATTCTGGGTTTTTTAAAATCCTTTTGTAATGTATATTTAATAACTAAACGGAACCTCTTTGTTCAGAAGTATTGCTATGGCTCTATGGTGCTTATGTTTTAATCACTTATCCTGCTAGAAACTTGTTGAACAGACAAGCCTGATCTATTAGGCTTATTTTATATCCATGAAAAGTTTTAATCTAATGTCCAATTGACATTTAAAATAGCTAGACTATCCTAGGCTGACTTTTTAGAAAATTACATTACTAGCCTTTTATTTTTCATTTATCGGCAACCCATTCCTTAACTTATTTTGCTTCCTTTAGCAGTGTGTAAAACTTGTATTTTGATGTTTTTAAATTTTGTGAATGATAATCAGTGTTAGCCCTGATTGCACAGTCACTTAGAAATCATTGTCTTTTTTTAAGTTTTGAGACTTTAAGCTACTACAGCTTACAAATATTTTAAAAAATTATATAAATGAATTCAGAAGTTCAACTGTATTAAGTGATGTTTAATATAATTAAGCTTTCATATGGTTATAGTTTTTAAAGCTTTTTAAGTTTGGATACACCTGTATCAACCTCTTTTTAATTACTTGACAATACTTATTTCCTATTGTAGGAGCTTTAGAGGTCAACAACGTTGTCACATTTAAATTGGATTAACAAATATGAATTAAATTTTTTAGACTGGCATTTGAGTCCATACGAATAAACAATATAGTGAATAACACAAAGTAAAAACATTAGCTAAAGTATCCTGCTAAACAATAATTAAAGGTTTCTTAGTGTTTTATTCTACAGCTTTGAGGAAATGGAAAGTGTTGACATGAGTAAATATGTTCTCTGCTTGTAAACATTAACAAAAAAAATCATAGTGTAAATACTGACTGTTTCTCAACTATTTCTTCCTTTCTCTAGTCAAGCCCTTCATCTCCAGAACCAGCCAGTCTTCCAGCAGAAGACATCAGTACAAATGCAAATGGTCCTAAGACTACAGAAATCTTATTAGATGATGACAGGGAAGATCTTTTTGCTGGTAATTTCTTTCCCATTTTTAAGCCAGTTATTTACTAGAAAAACTTCATGCATGCTTTTTCAGTGTATAATTTTGGCGATCTGTTTTGCATCCTTTATCAACATTTAGTTACTATTAAATACATCAGAACAGTTTTTAACATTTAAATAAAATTGGTCTGAATAACTATAACATTGTAGTGGGTAAAAATAAAATGTCTCCTGTGTAAAATTATGACTTATTAAAAGGTCAGGCCTTTGTTAGCCATAATACATACTGTTTTCTTTGTATATACAGAATAGAGATTGAAAGATTAAATATTATTATTATTATTTTGCATATTAACAGCTTCCTATTATGTTTCAACTTGGGAAATCATGCTTTGACCTCTCTTGGTTTAAACTATAACACAGAACATGTTTTATTGAAAGTGTTTAGTAACTGAAGCATGGACACAGTTGAATTAAATTAGCTTTATTTGTGCATATGTACTGACAGGCATGGTTTTGCAAATGACGTTCAAGAAATGATCAGTTGCATGACTTTACTACTTTACTTCTCTTACTTCAGTTCTCCTTAGAGCAGAAGTTACAACTTGTGGACTTCCCTTTTTTCTTTATATCCTGTATTACTATGGAAGAAAATGCAACCAATGAGAGCACATTTCTGAGAACCCCATAGTATAAATTATGTAGCAATTGCTCTTCAAGATCAAGCAATTTATGTATTTCATCTTTATGGTATTTTGTTCTTTAAGGTAGAATATAATCAAGGTTACACATATATGAGAAGCTTGTTCACGTGGCTACTTATACAATTGAGTATTTCTATTCAGTTGCTTTTAGCGTTTTTATTAAGTTGCTATTTCTATTCAGTTGTTTTTAGGGGATGTTTGATGTTAATTTCTAAATAAGTTACATTGATTATTTAACTTGGATTGTGACCTCTAGCAGACTAAATAACTGCAAGTATTTCAAGAACCAATATAGAATTTCTTGAGAGTTGGGAACAGCTACTTAAAAATATAAACAGTGCTTATTTAAAAATGCTTGCTGTAGCGACACCTTATTAGTGCTTTTTCATAAGGTATCAATTTTTCATTGAAAAACAGTGCAGAATAATCTATGACTAAGTAAAAATCAAATTCTGTATAGTCTTGATTGATCTTGAAAAGCTAATGTTGTTTGTGTTTGTAGGATGGACAGGAAATGCCAGGACTATGGACTAGATTGGTAAATAAAAAAAAAAACAATGATAAGGCAGTGACAAACCATTTCTGTATTATGATCTAGCAATGACTAATGAAGTTACCAGAAGCTAATTTAGAGAAATTTTGACAGAGATTACTATTGCAAGCCAAAAGAATGTTATATTTCCTGAATTCTAAATAATTAAAACAAGTCTTTAAGAGAGAGTAATTAATTATTAGAATCTAAGGTTGCTTCATCCTTTATAGGTAGTTCTTATTTAGCAATCCTAATGGGGACCCACATCTCAGTTGTTAAGTGAAGTGGTTTGCTAAGGGAAACTCTCGCTGTGCTTATAATGTTACTTCAGCCTTTCCTTTGTTGGACCTGTGAAAGTTGTAAATGCAAGCATTGGTCATAAAGTTACTTTTTCATCATCGTTACAACTGTGAACATTTACTAAATAAGGCAGTCATTAAACAAGGACTACATGTATTTTTATTATGTTATATTCCTGTATCAGTAGCTTAATTTATTACTTTATTTAAAACAGCTTTATGATTAATTATAATATTAAAATATATTGGATCAGCAGCTTTTTTTCTTGCACACCATCCAAGCAGCTCTCTGTTCATAAAATACTTGGAATGTCCTAAATCCAAGGACCTGTAGAATATATCCACTCTAAGATGCTTTAAGATTTTATCATTAAAGTAGTATGTTATGCTCAATTGTTAGTTAAAATATTTACCAATTTGACAACTATAACTATTTGATTATATACATTTTAAATGAACTAAATTTATTTGATATATATATTATTTTATTTCATTTCTCTTATCTGATCTCTTTATGATGTAGATCAGGGCTTTTCAACCAGTGGTATGGGTATCACTTGTGATACATTGGCATCTGGCAGGTGGTACACGACCATCCTAGAAAAGTAGTGGGGGGGGGAATGAGCTGAACCGGTGGCAGCACCACACAAGCCTGAGTGAGAGATGGCTGGAGTTGCAGTGCTGTCAGGGCTCAGCGGAAGCGCCAGGATCAGCGCCAGGCTCCAGCTGGAGTTCGGCGCTGATCCTGGTGCTTCTGCTGAGCCCAGAAGAAGCGCTGATCAGCTGGAATGTTGCAGAATCTCCAGGGTCTTGTGATTTACATTCAGATGCTTGGCAACGGATTCATATTTATGATGGTCACAGTGTCCCAGGTTCATGTGAAGTGACCAAAACCTGCTGCAACCACCCAGCAGACGGGGGGAATAAACCCCCCCACCCCACCCTCTCTGCCAATCCTCAACAGAAATGTTCACAACAATGAAAATCTCGGACAGGAGGAAGAGCACTGCTGGGCGGGCAGGCAGGTGTCTTGCTCGGCTGTGGCTTGGGGGGCACTTTTTTCAGTGCCATTGTAACTTCGAACAGTCACTAAGCAAACTGTTGTAGGTCGAGGACTACTTGTACTTCATCACTTTTTTCCTTTTTTGGAGGGGGTGTCATCAAGTTTTTGACATCTTGCTAGGCTGGTGGTACTCGGATATTGCCATATCCTAAAAGTGATACAATGGGTGAAAAGGTTGAAAAGCCCTGATGTAGATGTATCTATTAAAAACAGATGAATATTATAATTTATATTAATAATGGCTGAAATTATGGCTTAACCTTTGCTAAGAGCAGCATGTAGAAAAAATAAGTGATTAAACTGTCTCTATGTCATCTGCTTGCCCCTAGAAGCCCACCAGGCTTACAGGCAGTACTTGGGCTAAATACAAGTTTCATTGTCTAACTTTGTCTCCCCCCCCCAAATTTGTATTTAAATGATGGATGATAGTAAAAAGTGTATTCAGCATGGCTTCCATTCCTTTTAATAATATGTTGATTATTTTTGCAATTGATCATAACTTGCATTAACAGATATGTTTCTGTTACTTGTAACTACAGACTACAGAATATGTTACAAATATTAATCATGCAATACATAATTTAAATTAAGCTTCCTCTGAATTTCAGACTTTTCACAATAATACTGAGTATCAGTGACCTGTACAGGAGTAAATGAAAGATACTTTCAGAAGACAAATCTTTCTCATGGTATACACATGTATAAAAATATTCAGGATAATGGGTGAATGGTTCTCTTTTTTGTCTAGAAGCAACAGAAGAAGTTTCTTTGGATAGTCCAGAAAGGGAACCAATACTTTCTTCAGAATCTACTCCAGCTATAACCCCTGTTACCCCAACAACACTAATAGCACCAAGAATGGAAACAAAAACAGTAGTGGCCCCTGTGGATTTTGACAGATGCAGAGAAGAGGTATTAATGTAGTTAATAAGGCTATTATCAAACTGGGTACACAATTTATAGTCAAAGTAAATGTGAATATATTGGCAGTGTCCACGATAAAATCCTCTAGCAATAAAGAAATAGTTAACTTGCTTTAGAAATTGATATTTATTCTTATGATAAATGTATGGATGGGACTGGTTTTACAATTCCTACAATTGTCACTTCTACAGAGAATGCTGTCTTGTTTTATATTAATTATATATAAGTAGTTGGAGCCTTTTTGAATGAATATTGGGATAAATATTTAGCACAATGGCTATTGCCAATTAAGAAATCTTGAAAAGCTTTAAATGATTTTGAAATTATTTACTATAGGTTCTCCTGCTCGAGCAAGGAGCTGGACTAGAAGACCTCCAAGGTCCCTTCCAGATTCTATTCTGTTCTAGTCTAGTCTATTCCTATTCTTATTCTTAATTCTATTTCTATTCTATATCCTGACCTTATTAAGAGATATTTCTAAGTTGGCAGAGACATAGTATTTATTTATGAAATTTATTTGCTGCCCATCTTGTATCCAAAGCCTCTGAGTAGCTTACAACATAAAAAATAGGAAAACATTAAAATCATCCTGACTAAAATATCAGCAAGTAAAAACATTAACAGATAAAACGAAGGAGACAAGATGGCAAAAAAGGGAGCCAGACACATGGGGGTGGGGAGATAGCACTGAGTTTTAACTAGGCCACCACCTCCAGTATGAAGTTCTCTCATTGGGTCCCCAAACTATCTGGCAGAGCCAGGTCTTGAGACTCTTTTGAAACATCAGGAGGGTGGGAGCCAATCTCACCTTGAGGGGTAAGATGTTCGAGATGGCAGGTGCCATGGCAGAGAAGGTTCTCCTGAATCCCGCCAGCCAAAATTCCTTGGCTGGTGGGATCTGTAGTATGCTCCCTCTGTTGGCACAAGTGGGGAAGACCAGTCCCATTCAGGTGAGATGATTCTCAAATAGCCTGGATCCATGCCAGCATTGTATCTATTCTCCCCATCCTTATATTTATTCTCCAGTAAGCATGCCCAACTCTGAATATACAAGTTAAATTTTCTATTAACTCACTAGATTAGATAGCTACTTTATTCTGAACATAATTTCCTAGTTCAGACACAATCAGGATTTTGGGTTCTTTGCAGCATGCTAAGAACAGAAAAATATGGCAAGGTCTTTGGCTGGTCCATATCTTATCCATCTTGGTTTATATCAAGAGATTATTTCAGTAAAAATTCCATGAGGTCCTTAGTGTTCTCTGAGTTTGTTTGTTTTATTATAGCTGTTTTATTATCCAACTAGATGACTTCATCAGTGTTACAAGGGGGTGGGGTTTGCTCTCTCTTTTTATAGAAATGGCTTGCCCTATCAGTGTTGCTGGAATATTCTTGATTAGATACGATTTATTGTTTGTTTGTCTGAGTTGATTAATATGGTAAACATATACATAGTTTTATTCAACTCAGTGGCTTGACTTTTGCAAACATGGTATTATGAATCTCCAGTTCTCTTTAAACTGGTACAGGTGTTTTAGAATGATGTATCTTGAAAACTGATTTTCATTCAGAGGGAACTTGATTTCTACCAGTAGAGTAGAATTTTAATAATCCATTAAAATATGAGCAAGGCAATAAATAGCATTAATCTAGCTAAAGTTTAGGGTAAATGGCAGTTGATGAGGAAAAGGAAAAGTCTTAACAAAAATGGGGAAATGGTATTTGTCTCTCATATGGATGTGTATACCACAAGATGAAAAAATGCTTTCTCATTTCTTTTATATAAAGTAGAAAATATAAATGTGAAAAGTAATGGTCCTAATAAGAAGCATTGTTTGAAAATGAAAGCTCTAAAGTGAGTTATAGATCTAAAGCAGCGGTTCTCAACCTGTGGGTCGTGACCCCATTTGGGGTCGAACGACCATTTCACGGGAGTCGCCAAACAACGCAATCCGCCATTTATTTCCTCAGCTGGCGGCACCGCGCATGTGCACCGCACTGCGCATTGGGCAGCGCATGGGGGCGCCGCCGCACATGCGCGCCGCACATGCGCGGCGCGTCCTTATGACCGGGGTCGCCGGTATAAAAAGGTTGAGAACCACTGATCTAAAGGGAAAAAAGTATACCGTTAGTGGCCTGGTTGTTTTTAAAAATTTAATGTTTATTCCCTACACCATAAGAGCCTTCATTTTATCAAAAAGCTCTGCAATTCTGTCTCTCAACCTTTTTGAGAGTTAAACTACAAATTTACTCTGTTTTAATTAATTCACCTATTTTTTAAAAAAAATGGGATGAACCTTGTCTATCCATGACCACAGAGCTTTGTAGGGAAAGAAGCCAGATCAATTTGATTTCATTCTGATTTGCGTTTGTTCCACTACGGATCTACCATGTATCTGCTATAGTATTCCTAAATCTGCTTTATCAGATTGGCTGGTGGAATTATTTCTAATCTTTAGTAATGATCAGAAAAAATATTTCTAGGAATGCCAATAGTTTTTGCATTTCTTGTTATAAATAGTTGTATTATATTAGGATAATTTGATGGAATGTTTTTTATCAAAATACAAGTAGCCTTTATTCTCTAAAAATTGTTTTAATGCTGAGAAATCATAATCTTTTTTGTATGACAACTTTTCAGACATAGTTACACAACATTAATCATATTCACAATGTTCTTCAGAATTAGGAAGGTGCTTTATCTTTTTCTAATTTTAATTATTCAAATGACTGCCTTATTGAAAATCTAGTGAGCTATGTTTGGGCTTTTGATATTTCTCAAACTATAGAGATGCAAGTGTGATGTTTAATCTTTAAGAATTTGTGACTAGACATTAAATTTAGATTATTGGAAAGATTACTTACTGTTTAATATTACATGTGTTTTTTAGATTGAAGAAGAAACAAACGGGGATGCATTTGATATTGAAATTAATGTATCAGATCCAGAAAAAGTTGGTGAGTCTGAAAATTGTTGTATTAATTAAAGAAAATTTATTTTATAGCTAAATTTTGATATATAACTATTTAAGTCACATGTATAAAAACTCTAATGTTAATAGATTATATAAATGGATAACTATTTTTTTAATAAATATATACCTTTATTTATGTACCATACAGGGGATGGCATGAATGCTTACATGGCATACAGAGTCACTACAAAGGTACCTGTTACATGATAACTAAGCAAATATTTAGTGTTCAGCACTATATAAATGTGATATATTTTACAAATGGCGTTTTTTGGTTGTTTTTTTTAGACTTCCCTAACTATGTTTCACAAAAATGAATTCTCTGTTAAAAGAAGATTCAGTGATTTTCTTGGTTTGTATGGCAAGTTAGCATCAAAATATCTTCATGTTGGTTACATTGTACCACCAGCTCCAGAAAAGAGTATTGTAGGTAAGTGTGACTAATGAATAATGGTATTCATCTTCCATTATGAAACTGTTATTCTGACAATAAAAATTGTGTTGCATCACATAAATCTATTTTTACATCTATTTGACACATTTTACTTTTAGAGTATGGGTTATTAACCTTGGATCCACAGACCACAAGGGGTTGTATTTAGATGTCCAGGGGTCTATGCATTTGAATGGGAAATATGTAAATATTCTTTATTTTCACTAATCTCTAACCATGACTAAATTGCTTATTTAGAGGTTAGAGAAGATAAAGAAAATAGTTACTTTATTAGTGAACTTAATTTTCACTGACTTCTAACTGAAACTAAGTCTGTCTTATTGATTAATGGAATAACGAAGTACATATATTACTATGTTACATATTTGTTATTTGTAACATTTTGATAACTAAATTTAAACTTAATAGGTTTCCTTTGCATTATAGTCAATATATATTTGATGTGTTTAAACACAATTTTCTGAGAAGGGGCCAATAGGTGTCACTGTATTTCCAAAGGGCTCCATTGCACAAGAAGGAAATGAAGCTGGTATAGCGCCTGGTTACCTACAGAACCATCTTTGCCCTATTACGCTAGTACCTCCCACCTGATTAGGCAAAAGAGATATATAGCGGGCCTGACAGTTAAAGAATTTTGACTGGCAGGCTCTAGGAAAAGAGTCCTTTCTGCCATTGCTGGCTTTGAAACATTCTGTCCCTAGAGGTGAAGCGGGCGCCCAGTCTCATAGCCTTTCAGAAATGTCTAAAGATCTGGGTCTGTTACCTCATTTTGACCTTACAGAAGAGCATGCAACCTTAAAGGCCCCTCCCCTGCCTTTTAATTTTTAATATTAGGTTTTAAGCATCCTTGTCTCTTATTTAAATTTTTATCTTCATTTTTTTATTTTTAATATTTTATTTCTATACCACCCAGAGATGGGTAGTTTCTAAACTTAATAAATAAATAAAGGAAATATGTAAGAAGTAAATTAACGTATTTTTGAAAGAAAAGTACACTTTATTTGAATGATAAAATGTACTTTCCATGTTCTATTTAGTTGTCCTTTGGTCTTGGAGCATTTAGTTACTTTTTCAATTTTATAGTAAATTGACAATTAAAATATTTAGGTTAATCTCTCTGTTAATCACATACTGATAATCAGTACTTTGATGATACTCAGCTTTACATCTCTACCCTGGGCCATAGTGGTGAGACTGTTAAAGTCTTGTCTTAGGGTCCAGAGGTTGTGGAGATCCAGATTGAATCCTAGCGGGATACAATTACTATTCGTCATCAGGGTATTCAGATGTTCCAGTGGTATGTGTCAATGGGGGGACCAATAACCCTGAAGAAGTAGGTCTGTGATTTGAATGTCATCCTAGATTCACAGTTCCTGCTTGATTAAAAGTTAGAAACCATAACCAACTTGGTTGGAAGTTAGATTAGCCACCATCTGCAAGCAGTTGGAGCTCTTCCAGAGGGTATTTGAGACTCATTTGCATGTTTTATGTCTTTTATATCTTATTGGATCATACTGTTTGTATTTCTGTAAATTAAGGTTATGTGGTAAAAACCCTGGTTATTCTCCCAGGCCTTGGATTAGAATGATGGTTGAGCCCATATGGTTTGTTGTTGTTGTTTAGTCTTTGGGTATTGTCTTCCATTCAGTTATTTTTTGCTTGATATATTTTATGCTAATGTTTTACTTATAAGCACTTCAGAGTTGCTGTGGACTTGGGCAGACTATCAACTGAAATTATTTATTTATTTACTTATTTGTATCCCACCTTTATTATTTTTACAAGTAACTGAAGGCAGTGAATATATTCAAAATAACTTCCTCTTTCTAATTTCTCCACATACCAACCCTGTGACGGGGGTTGGTGTGAAAGAAAGTGATTGGCCCCCGGTCACCCAGCTGTGTTCATAGCTAAGGTGGGACTAGACCGCACAGATTCCCACTTTCTAGCCTAGTGCCTTAACCACTTGACCAAACTGGCTCTCTATATATTTAGAGGGAAAGTGGGTGCACGTTATTTTTTGACTTGTATATTCACAGCATTGTTAAACTTTGATGTTCAATAGTTCTTAACTGAAGAAAGCTTACTCATTTTTATACAGGATAATAATAAGTGTAAAGTTGTAGAAACAATACTTTCAACCCTTTGGTGAGGTGTTCAAATTAATCAAGGGAGTTAGTATCTCTACAAATGAAAATGAATTCTTTCCCAAGAGAAATGGAATAGACTAATGAGAACAAAATACTGTGCATTGATATTCTTGAGAATACTAATACTTGGTTTGAGAAAACTTGAGCAGAATTCTGACTGAAGAGTTTTATTGTTTGGTTATTTGACTATTTCAGGCTGATTGATGCATATTTCAAAAATAATTTTGAAGAAGTGTTTTGGACATTGCAAAAGTACAGCGTTTTCTATTATCCACTAAGCTGCCTATTTTTTTTCAAGCTTCAATATAAGTTGAGTCTGAAAAAAGAGCTGCTGCTATTTTAAGAGTCACATTGATTTTTGAGAAGTGCTATACTCCTACCAGGGTCAAAAGCACACTTTCCAATTTGTTTTTGCAGTTTGCACAGCCCTAGACTGTGGCTGGCTGTTTTTCTTTTTTTGGATTTGAGGAATGTTCTTTGAAATACTCTTATTTTTCATTGCATATTCAAAAGATGAACATACATTTAAATCTAAATGTTTGTGCTAAATCAGTGATAGCTGAATGAAGCTTTCATCTGAAAAATCCTATTCATTTTTAAAGTTTATCTGACTTTATAATTGCAGTTTATTCCAGATAAGCAGAAATTAACCTAGACTAAGACTGGTAGGACTATGCGGAGTCTCTTGGCTAGAGAGCAACTCATTGTAACTTCTTATTCAGCTGATGGCAAATATGATGGTTGACTTAGTTTACACAGTCTATTTATCCTAGTGTTTTATGCCTCTGAAATGATTTTCCTCAGGTTCTGTGTGTGAATGGAAGAGGACAGAAATAAGTTCTTTTTGTTTCACTATAGTCCCTCGTCCCTTCTCTAAAAGAATAGCCAAAAGCCTGTCCTTTTAAATTAGTGAGCCCATTTGGAACTTTATATATCCTCCCCAAATGTCTGCAATGTATAAATCAACAATGAAATAACACCCATTTTCCAGAAGTCTAGTATTTGAATAGAATTGTCAGTTATCCTTTTAATCTCCCTGTATGCTCGTCCCACCTCACCTTATCTTTTGTTTTTTGGAGGACAAATGAAATAATTTCTAAATAAAGCCTAAGAGTGCAGCTAGTACCATTTATATTTTTGAGGAAAATAAAATTATTGAGGCTGCTGTTTTGCTTTGCAGTGTGTTGGCTTTTAACTTTTTTTTATTAAAAGAATAAAATCAGGTGAAGAATGGAACCTGGTAGATCTCAAGGAAAATAATTGTTGAGTATATTAATTTCTGCACGGGACAGTAAGTCTCAAAAAGTAAAGTGAAAACATTTGTCTCACATTGTTCATCTGGTAATGTGAAGAGATCTGGGCTGGTCAGTTTAGATTATTATTTTCCTTCACCTAAACATAACAATGTTTAGATGAAGGAAAATAATTATCTAAAACTGACCAGACCAGATCTCTTCACATTACCATAGTACAGTTCATGTAAGTAAGTTCATATTTATATGAGAAAAGCATGATGGTCAAATACAATATTAAAATATATTTTGTGACCTTAAGGTATTTTATGAATAATTTTGATTAAAATAAGATTTTGCAAAGGTTTTAAAAATTACAGAAACTTAGAAAAAATGCAGAAATAAAAAGTTTATAAAAGATTAAAAGAAAAAATGAAGAATAACAAAAAAGAAAGAAACAGATTAAAAAACAGCTTCAGATCTTCTTTGAAATAGTCACAAATACAGCAATTTTTATCCATTTTCAGCAAAGACCTATAAAAGGTAGCTGAGTTCTCTCCATAATCAACAAGTCAGTTTAGCTATTTCTACAAAGTCTATCATCTTCACAAGGTATTTTATTATTGATGTTTCCACAGTTTTTCATCTTTGTACACATAATAACTTTGTGGTAGTTACTATATATGTGCCCTTATTAGATTAATATACTGTACATTTAGATATGAACTTGGCAAAGTTCAGAATCGCATCAGGTTAAAAAATGAATTTATGTCACTTTTTTCAAAGGCATGACGAAGGTAAAAGTAGGCAAAGAAGATTCCTCCTCTACAGAATTTGTAGAAAAAAGAAGAGCAGCATTAGAAAGGTAATTGATTATCTGTAGTAGTATTGAATGAATGTGCAATGAAGTATACAATTTTATTTGCTTCTCAGACTATTTAATTTTACATGCTAACCTGTGTAAAAGAAACCGTTCAGAATAAAATCTGAAGTTGATATTAAATTGTTTATATAATGATGACATATTTCAGTATGAATATCAAATAAAAGTGTATATGTGTATATCTGTATACAGATATGTAAGACAGAATCTTTTCTCTCAGAAAGGTTGTTTGGCATGCTGAACATACTGTAGCTGTGGCTGCTGAGAATCAAATATAATTCAAAATCCAGCATTTAAACATTCAGTCTATTTTAAATATTGCTTAGATTTTAATGTGCCACCTGGAAAAAACTTCAAAAGTTAGTTTATATTGATCTAGATTTCAATTTCTAGGTTTCATTCTTGGGTGCTTCTGTAAGTGAAAGTATTTGTGATTTATTCAAGAAAGACAGGCCTTTGAATGCCATCTTTCTGTGTTATCTTTACTGCTATGTATGAAAAAATCATAATATGTCAAAATGTTTCTATGTCGCAGTTACTTAAGGGAAGCTTTCTTGTTTCCAAGACGTGTTACCAGCATATCAGTATTGTAGGACTGATCTTTTGTTTGAGAAATTATCTAGTAATATTTGGCTTCCTCTGGATATCATATTCCAGACTTAATCATTTTAAAAATCTTTTCCCACCAATAGAATAGAATGAATATATGTAGCCTTGTTGCTCTCTGAGCTTGGTTGTTTGCTTGCAGATGCTTTGTTACCTTCCTAAGGTAGTTACCAAACTAGGATCTAAAGAGGTTACCTAATCGGGTAACAAAATGTCTGCAGGCAGACAACCAAGCTCAGATAGCATCAAGTACTTCGCAGTAATACTGTTAAATGTTTTGGGGATATTACTAGAATAACCGACTTTGTCGTGCCCATCTGATGCATGAATGATTTTTTTCCTGTATTGGAAAAAGACTTTTATATGCCCTGATCTTGTACAATAAAGCTGTTCAAAATTGACATAGCTATACTCCTGGCCATTTCTCGTTTGACATGGAGCAACTTTCCAACAACTTAGTCTTGTAGATGATGATGATGGTGTTGACATTCCATATTTAGGGCAAGAGGATGGAGGCTCTCCATGACTGTGATCCTAAGAATAATAAAAGCTAAAAAAATAAACAGGAGGTTTTTCTTCTTCTTGAAATTACATTACAGGGATTTTTTTGGTGTAGGGGTGAGATTAAGACTGATTTTTGCACAATAAATGGATTATTAATATCTTCATGAAAATATTCTTTAGTAACCTAGGAACTGTTATTCAGAGATGGATTCTATTTTCTATATTTGCTGGGCCAGCTTTACTGGATGGGTGGGTCTGATTATATACATTTTATTGATTATTGGATTGCTCTATAATGGAAGCCATTATTTTAGTTAAGTAATAAAGCTATAATAAAATATAAAACTTGATGGTATCCAGATGTCTTCGGAACAGAACATGAAAAGGATATTTGCCTAATCTACCATATCGGATAGAGTAGGTAAGCCCCAGGTCCCCCACCCTTCTGTGTTACCTTTTAGTGGGACCTAGGAAGTGTGCCTTTTCCGTAGCAGCCCCTGTGGAATGTGCTTTTCCCTAGAGATTTGCCAGGCATTCCTTATCCTAACCTTCCAGAAAGCCATAAAGACCTGGCTCTTCTCCCAAGTGTAGGTGTAGAGTGAGCTTGGAGTCTGAAGATGGCATGTTGGAGATTGGTTGTGATGCCTGTGGGGTTTTGTTTTGTTTCGTGTTTCTGTGATATTTAATTCTTTATGTCTACAGAGATTGTCAGTTACCCAGGTCATAGTTATCCCAAAGATGCTTTTTTTCACAAGGCAACTGGACTTTCTTGTTTTTTCTTCAAAGATGTTTTGTTTCTCATCCAAGAAACTTCTTCGGCTCTGACTGGATGGTGGAGAATCTTTGGGATTTAATTCTGTATTATTGCTATTTGCCAGTCAGAGTTGTGTCTCCTAAGATGGGTGGCCATGTAAATCTTTTAAATAAATAAATGTTGGCAATAACATGCATTCTACTAGGAAATCTAGAACAGCTGGTATGGTAGAGCTTGTTTTCTAAAGTATGTAGTAATTTGCTTTAGTTGTATTTTCTTATCTGTGGTTCTCACTAAAGTCCTGGATCACACATATTCTTGTTAATGGGAGCTAATGTCCTAACTAATTTTTAGCAGAAAGGGAGAATAAGGGAGACTGAATGGTATAGTCAGCACAAACATTCTTTTTTTACCACAGGATGATAAAGATGGAATATATTATTATTGTTTAAATAATGTGTTAAAATCATAGTAAATAGTAAATATTATATAGTTGCTCCTATCATAAAATGTTATGACATATTATTGATCATATTATATCCATTAATTTTCCATTTCTAACAAAAATTAGAATTATTAAGCTCCTTCCAGGAGGAACAGCTTCACTGGGATAGTTCTGCTCTTTGGTTATTTTTTCGTGTAAACTGGAAACTGTAGCTTTTGTCAAATCAACCGGTAGTTTATTCAGTTTTGCCTCCATTCTAGTTCTATATTCCATAAATATTGATCTTTAATTGGTTGTTTTAATAAAAAGACAAAGATTGAAAGCTTTTATTGAAACTGAATTGTTCTATATATCTTGGAATTATGTATTTTAATGCAAATTTTAAAATACACTGTCTTCCCTGACTGTTTTAGCATATATTCATTCTATGTATGGCCATTTTTTTTAATACTATCAAGAATACTAAATGTTTTCTAACTTTTAAAATTGTAGGTACCTACAGCGAACAGTAAAACATCCAACCTTATTACAAGATCCTGATTTAAGACAGTTCTTGGAATGTTCTGAGGTATTTAATTCTATTTTCTCATTTATTTAGTTTTACATATTAAGTACCAAACAATTATATGTGGACATCTGGTTTTGTGCGTTACTGCAATGCTGTTAACAAACTTCCATTATTTAAAGCTAGGGCAAGTGAAATCCTCTTTTCTTACTGTCATTTGATAAATAATCTGATTAACTCTACAAACACGATTGTGTCTCTGTTTCAAAATGTTGATACAAGATTACATCTTTATATTACAAGAACAAAAAAAGCTTGCTATCATTTAATTCCCTGGTAGAGGATTCAGTCACCAGTGCTGTCAATTTGGCACTTTTCATTTAAAAGTAGAAAATTATCTTCAGAAAATTTTCTTGCTAGATTAATATACAGCTGGTGTAACTTTCCTGCTGATAAATGTTACAGATTTCCAAATAATTCAGTGTGTCCTAAGATGGTACTCTAAGGCCTAACAAGCTGCTGTTTGACGAAAGACAATGCCGGAGCTTTTGCTGGTTATTAACATATCATGTTACAGAATCCCTGACCCTTTTTCTTGCTGTTCAGAGAAATTGTCTATGGTGACTTCTATGTATAAATGTATAACTAAACTCTTTTAATAATATACCTAGAGAGGTTTTAATAGTTCTGCAGCCAACTGTCTCTATTCTCTCGCTCTCTTTTTCTGTGTCTATGCGGGTGCAGGCAAAAACAAATCTTCTATGGAAAGGTGCATGTGCATAATCAGGTTTGAAGTTAGTGTTCCCAAACATAATTAAACACAGTAGCTCATAAGATTTGTGTATGTGTGTTTTAACATAAAATACATTATATCCTAGTTATATGCTTGAAATACCTTGATTGACAAAAAAAAGTTGTCAGTGCATTTGTTATGTGGAAGCAGTAGCCTAGTATTGCCCTTAAAAGCTGTACTGCTCTTGGTAGCCAGTTAAAGCATTTGGCGGCAGTGTAACAAGTTTTGACAAATGGTCTCTGTGTTCCATCTAAATGTAAAGGTGCAGAAGAAAAGCAAATTGAAAGTCTATTTTTTTAAGTTTTCCTCTGAGGATGTAAAAGTAGTAAATTTAAGAAATTAGGTTCCACTATATTGAAATGTATGAGGGGGAAGAAAACACTACATCCTTTTCAGTCCCTTTGGTGCCCAGTTAAACCTCCAGCCTTTTAACCAGTTTGTTTGCCCTTATTTGTCATTCAATTCCAGCTGCCGAGAGCAGTTAACACCCAAGCTCTGAGTGGAGCAGGAATATTGAGGATGGTAAACAAGGCTGCCGACGCTGTCAACAAAATGACGATCAAGATGAATGAATCGGATGCAGTAAGAGCTGATTTTTCGACTTGAATAATGAGATGAATTAATGAGGTTCAACAGTTGCATTTTAAAACCATAGGAGTAGAAAATGGGATATTAATTTACTTATTGGCTTGGATTCTCAATTGTATCAGTTGACCACCTGTTTATACTGAGTTAATTTCTTGCCTTAGGAAGGCAATTGTAGTTCGCAGTATAGTATATATTGTAAAGGTTTGTTTTTTTTTTCATTTTGCCAGTGGTTTGAGGAAAAGCAACAACAATTTGAGAATCTCGATCAGCAACTTCGGAAACTTCATGGTAGTGTAGAAGCCTTGGTCTGTCACAGAAAAGGTAGATATGTTAATCAGATTTTTACTATTTTAAATGTTAAATATGAATTAATGTTTCTAAAAACTCTTATGATCAGAAACCTTAAATAATTTCAGGGCAAGAAACTAGCTAAAAGTTGAACTGTACAGTGTACAATACATCTCATACAAAAATGATTTTTAGAAACTGAGAAATCATTTTTTCAGTGGATATTTCTTACCAAATAATTCTGTTTGTAATGTAACTGAACGCTTGGGATTCTTAGACAGCGTTCTGCTTATAAAAACATTAATCCTGAATTAAGCAGATTAATTGCATATCTCCTTTTGCAGCCTACTTATAAGGAAAGTGATTTTTTAAAAAATAAGTGGAACTGGATGAACAATGCTAGAGAGTAAAACATGAAATCTGTGTATCAAGTTAGCTATCAAAATCTTAATATCTGTGATTGAAATATGGTTTAGTATCCTTTCCCAAGACCTATTATATAAATCTCAATGTACAGCACCATTAAAATGGGAGATTTAAGAAAAAAACTAACATAGTTAATTGGAAATTCGTCAGTTGCAGGAATCTTTCCTAATTTCATAGAAATGGATAGAAAGGGGTGAATCAAGGTTGGAACTAATCAGGTGCTTAAATCAGGTTCATAAATCTTCCAGTGCAATCAATGGGATATGTGTAAGATGGAGAATGGAGTTCTTCCTGACATTTGTCCTCTTTTTGTATTAGATCAATAAGATGTTCAGGTGTTTTTTTTATGCCCTAAACTGGATATTGAAGATCCTCATCTAATCTACAGTGCAGGATACAATCTTTTTACGAGGAGTTAGTAAATTACACAAGCATCCAAACCCTTACATGTTTTGCATTACAATAATTTATTTTACTGACATTTGTTTCATTGGCAGCAATTTCCCAACACTTTGCTATATAAACTTTAACAGATTTTTACTCTGAAATGGCTCTACTGATACACAAGTTTATTTCATATCAAGCACACTATCATTTTAGTAGTAACATACAACCTGTGATTTTAGCATGTGCTTAGTGGCAGAATTTGTAATCTCTTAAAAATGGTTGAAATAATAGATAAAATAGAATTGAGTATTGATATAAAAGATTCATATGAGTTTGTTTTGTTTGTTTCAGAACTGTCAATCAATACAGCTGCCTTTGCTAAAAGTGCTGCCATGTTAGGTAACTCAGAAGACCATACTGCTTTATCAAGAGCTTTGTCTCAGCTTGCTGAAGTTGAAGAAAAAATAGACCAGTTGCATCAAGAACAAGCTTTTGCTGATTTCTATGTATTCTCTGAGCTACTCAGTGATTATATTCGTCTTATTGGTGGTGTAAAAGTAAGCCCACATTTAAATCTATACAAATATTAATATATAGGTACTCCTTGCTGAATGACCTTTCTTTAGTGACTGTTTGAAATTATTACGTTGCTGAAAAAAGTGACTTCTGACTATCCCCACAAGCATGTTATCACCACTTGCAAACTTTGCAGGCAGTTTCCAACAAGCAAGGTTATTGAGCAATCTGGCAGGCAGTCACAAACTGCAGTCATGTAATGTCTCTCTTAACAACTGCCATAGGGACAGCTAGAACTGCCATCACTAAGCAGGGTGTTGTTACGTGATGTATTAATCACTGCTTCACTTATTGTTGGAATTGCTGTCTCATTTAGGGTCATAAAATGAGGACTACCTGTGATGCTGAATTTATATTCAATGCTATGACATTTTCAGGATATAATATATTTATTTGATTTATATACCACGTATTTCGTGAACCCAAAAGTGGATCTCATACAAAAGGGAGGACTAGAACTCAAAATTTCCCTGTTTCTTAATCATTACACCAAGTGGGCTCTCATGCAAGCTCTTGGAACCTTTCTGAATTTGGGCTTTGAAAATTAATCAGGATGAGGTCTGGTTAGTATTTTGATAAGATACTTAGATAATTTTACTGCAAACTAAATTGAGCTGAAAAAAAAAATCCAGGAAAAACAACGTCAAACAAAATTTGTTGTTGCCAAGAAAATTGCATAAATGAAAGTTTACATGAAGTCAAGGATACAGGTAAACCTTTCTTGCCAACTGCTTCGTTTAGTGATTATTCAAATTACAAGGATGCTGAAGAAAAATAACTTCATGAGCAATGACTACATCTATGATCTTCGCAGTATCATTCAGTCACATGATTGCCATTATAGTCAGTACATGTTGTCCTGTGCCTGTCTTGTTTTCCTTTTTTCCCATCCCTACCCAGCCCTTGTAAAACAGAAAGATCAATGAAGAAGTAATTGCAGGAAAGTAAGCAAGCATACAGTAGGTAATATACATTTTTAAAAAAAGTCAGGCACAGGAGACATTAGAGATTAGTTTTATTTTTTATTTTTTCCCTGCTCGCTCCTTTTTTTTCCTGGATCATTCTGGGCTCCCAGCGCCAAGCACAGGTCTTGTATATTACAAGCAGCAGCTGGCCAGGTTAGATACCTCTTTAGATTCAAGTTATTTTGTAGATAAATAACTATAGGCATTTAAGCTAAGCATTTAATAATAATCAGTTATTTTTAATTAAGATGCAAAACTTTTTTCTTGAAATGTCAGATTTTGAATAAGCTTACTGTCATCTTTTTTTTTTAAACCACATTGTTTATAGGGTGTATTTGATCATCGAATGAAATGTTGGCAGAAATGGCAAGATGCTCAGGTCATGTTACAGAAAAAACGAGAGGCTGAAGCTAAACTTCAGCTTGCCAACAAACCTGACAAATTACAGCAAGCTAAAGATGAAATCAGAGAGGTAAATTTTATAATGCAGTGCCTTTTTAATTAAAAAAAACCTGTTTTGTTCTTCATATTCTTTGCCTTTAGTGCATTTCAAATATGGTTTTAACCATCATTAGTTCCAGTATTATTAGAATAACAGTAATTTCATATATTTTCTTAAATATATATTCATATTTGTGTTTTACAAACTGAATGCCACTTTTTTAAAATAAAAAAAAATCAGACTTAGGCAATTTATATTCTCCCATATGAAACATTTCCAAAACATAAATTTGTGAATGTCAGATTTACAATTGCATATACATATTTTTCACTTGTATAACATAATCTATCTTCAGTATAATGTTAAAAGAACTAGAGGGTATCCTAATCATAACCTCTGCACTTTTTTCTGTCATGCTTCATGAAGGAAATTGAAGAGGTAGGAGAACATGTGCTTCCTGTTCTTATTTCTTGCATTGAATAAAAATTGTTAATGTTCATTAACAAGCAAATTAAAAGGCTATTAAAAACATATTTTTTTAAACAAAGTAGCACATTGTCTTCTGTGAAGATTTTATACTTTTACAAAAGTGCTTAATGATCAGGATAGTATGACAAGAATTAAATCACTGAGAATGGATAGTAACAGCTGTTTAGAGTAGCATAAACTTGTAGTTAAAACGTGTATAAGGAGGGAACAGTTTACTGAGAACATTTTACATGTAGTTTCATATAATTGGCTGCTGTTTGTATTATCTGATTATTGTGTGGCACAGAAAATCAATGTTCTGTAAAAATGTTGTTGCTTTTCTTAAGTGACTTAGCTACTGTCACTTAAGAAAAACAACAAATATTTTTGTAGAATTAAGTATCTCTGGTGCCTAAAATTTTAATTCTTCAGAGTCACTTAACACAGTCATAAATTTAATAAATAAATAACTGCAGGTTATTTATAAAAGTCTGATATTGAAACTTTAAGAGAGTGACTTCTTTTTAAAAACTAATTTGGATTTAAACTGCTTTTGTCAGGTTTTCTATGTAGCAACTTTCTTCTATACATTGTCACGGTTTCCTTTGAAAACTCTTCCATAATGACATTTGAGTTGGAAACTTTTAATAGCCAATTTGACAGGTTTATGGTATCTAACTATAAGACTCTTTTAGTTTCTGTAGAGTATTTCATACTATGTGTCATGTGTAACATGATATGAATGGCTAACTTAAATATTAAGCGTTTCTAAATCTAAGAATAATTAATCCTTTTAAGCATGTCTGGACATAGAAATTTATGCTATAGATCAGTGGTTCCCAACATTTCTGGCTTTGTGGGAGCAGGGGAGAAGAGGGCATGGTTGCGCGCATGCACCACTTGCACAAATGCACCCTCATGTGGTCACCCGCCATTTGCACAACTGGTTCCCAACAGGCCACGCCCTGCACTGGGCTACTGAGTGGGGGGTTAGGATCCATGCTATAGGTCTATCATTATTAGTTGGTACTTTATAGGAAATTGAACAACATATTCTGTAACTATAATTAGAACTTAAAAATTAAAACCAAAAGAACTGTTAATTTTGAAAGGGAAAATGTGTTTTGAATAGTTTTGCCTGGAAAGTCTTCATGTTATATAGTTGGAAGGTATATATGCTATCATTTTCATTTCCATAAGAAACCTTTTAGTTTGTATTGCTATTCATTATGTTATAGTCATAATATGCTTAATTATATGTGTTTAAATTATACGCGTTTTTTTTTTAACTTTTAGTGGGAAACAAAAGTTCAACAAGGAGAGAGGGATTTTGAGCAAATCTCCAAAACAATACGCAAAGAAGTAGGAAGATTCGAGGCATGTATATAGGCTATTGTGAAAATATATTTATTAAACGGATCGTAATGAAATAAACTTTGGCAAGGTTGTTCAGTGAGTAAATACCTTAATTCTCTTTTACTGTCAGAAAGAACGTGTGAGAGACTTCAAAACCATTATAATCAAATACTTGGAATCATTAGTGCAAACACAACAGCAGGTAAGATTATTTCCAAATAATCATAACACATTTTAGAGTTTTAATCAGTGAAACAAATGTATTAGACATTTACATTAAGAGAATTTTGGATAGATGTGCACGTGTGTATATACATATATATATATATGTGTGTGTATATACATGAAATGCTGTTTATTACTTTCTCTTTTCTTTTCTCCCCCTCCCCCAGCTGATAAAATACTGGGAAGCATTCCTACCTGAAGCCAAAGCCATTGCCTAGAAAGAAGACTTTCCAATATGAAGATTCTTTGGATGTTGTCCCAGTTGAATTAAATTCCATAATGAAATCACTTTAAAATCATCCAAATAAACCACTATATATTTTATGAATTTAACATGTGGCTTTTTATATACTATAGCATCTTATTAACAGCTGCATGTCCTGACCCTCTTTGGACTGTGGCATGACATTCTGCAATACTTGCGAATTGAACACTATTGTGTCTTAATACTTGCACTAAGATGTGCAATGCAAGGCCAGAACGTTATTTTTGTTCTTTACTATAAGTTCTGTCTACTTGATCTTTATGAAACAGAATGCATTTATTAATGTTCACATACACATTCCTGTAAATAATCAAGATTTTGTGATTACAGTAATAAAGGGATGTATCTTGTGCAACATTAATCATTACGTGTGTTAATTTTGTTCTTATTGGTTATAAACTATAAACCCTGGTGAAATAATTGGTATTTAGTAATTCTATCAGTTTTATGCATGTGAAAAGTACTTTCAAAATTAAACAATTGCACTTAAATGCCCTTTATTTGGCCTTAACAAGAATCTTGGATGCTAAACCATGAAACTGTTACAATTTACAAATCAATTTGTTTGGATTGTTTCAAATTGGTATCATTCTAGTAACAAGGGTCCTTTATCCAATGAAGACTTCTGTTAGGAATGAAGCTGAAGGCTCAACATTCTTCTACTTAAATTCTTACGACACTCTTAAGGACTTTCCTGTTTTTAAAAGCACATTTACGGTGAAAAAAAGGCAGTGCTAAAATTCTATAGAGCCAATTATTCAATCAGATAACATCCAGATATCTATTTTGGGTTTTTAAATCACTATACAATTTGGAAAATGGCATATCATTTTTTTAAAGAAAAATTCTGTGTAGTTTTTATGTTCCTGAAAGAAGTTTAAATTCTATGGTTGAAATACTTGTCTCAGTGGAAACATGAATTTTCCATCTCCACTCCCTCTGAAAACTTCAGGATATGATCTTTCAGAAGTGCAGGAGAACATAACTAAAAAAAAAAAAAGCAAAAAGGATTCACTGGAATGTACCCTCTATAATGCTACAGAAGTACAATGCTATAGTTATTCACAAAAATATGGTTTTGGTTCTAGCTGTGTGTAGCTGGCAGGTATTTTGGCAACTTTAGTTATGTTATTTCCAGGGTTGCAGTGTTGTAGCTCCTTATCATGAGATAAATTTACACATGCATGTAACAATTGTTTGAATTGGTCCCAAAGTGGAAATCCCACATAGACATCCCAGTAAGCTCTATAATTTGAATGCATTTTTCCTATTAATGGGTGGAGGATTTACATGCTTTTTCTATGAAAAAGTATTAAAATAATGATTGTGTTGCTACATGACAGCTTTTTTCCCCTAATGTTATCTTTCAATGGCAGTAATTACCTTCATTATTTACTACTACAATACTGCAGCAAAATATTTTGCCTTTTTTTAATTAACTAGTGGAATAGCTAAGGTTGTTGATGGCATTACACTGTTTGAAATGGTAAAAAAATAAGGCACTGTAAAGAACTCCAATGGGATTTCCAAACATTAGGAAAATCAACAACTGGGTATCAAAATAGCAGATGTCAAGAACAAAATCAAGTTAAAAGATGGAGGAAGGAGACTATCAAGGAGTAACGCTATAGGAGAATATGGCTGCAGAATCTGACTTCCCTACTTATACTACTTGGAGAATCCTGAATAGGTTGAGAGTTGGGAGTACCTAAATGTAAATCAATATGCTCAAGTGGATAGCAACATGCTTTAGGAAAGTAGAGAGTACAAAGCCTGGCCCATCTGCTGGTATATTGTACCAATGTACCAATAATGACTTATTTTTGGCCAAAGACAGTTTAAAGTTTAGATATGGAAGAAGTCCCTCAGGCCCTGATGCGCTGGTCTTTTGTTTCATCTCCTTCAGTTCCTCCATAAATTACAGAGAACAATGGGATCCATGAGAGAGGAGTATGACACAGGCACAATCCAATCCAAGGCCTCATAGTTCTGTCCAGGTAGCAATTAAGGCCCCAGATGGAGTGTGCAGAAGACCAGCAGACACAACTGCCAGTTTCCTCTGAAACCATCTGGTTCCATCAGTCACTGAAGGAGAACCAGTCAAATATATCTTACCTACCTGCAGTGGATAGTTGTATGGGAGAATCTCATGGTAATCAAGACTTGAACTGACCATGACAAGGAAGACACCAACATCCCCTAATTCCAGATCACACTGCCATTGATCCGATAGGAAAACTATCAGGTGTTTAACCACTGTCCCATGTTGGGCCCTGGATGATCTGGGATAGACTCATGGCTGTCATTTTAGCCATGAAGTCCTGAATCAACTCAGATCCACGTCTAAGGAAGACATACTGAATTTCCCCAAGATCATAAATCTGGGAATCTCCACTACCAACTGAGAAATGGAGACCAGAAACTCGGCAGAGATTGTTATGCAAGAGGAAAATTGGTACATAGCAGCAGTCCCAAATGATCCCTAAAGCCCAGCTTAGTAAACAGAGTCTCATATCCATCAGCCTAAGGAGCGGCTCGCCTGAAAGGCTTAAGAGACTTTCGAATGACAATAAACACACCTCTTCTCCTGCCTTGGTATCTCTGCTAATGCCATACCTGAAACCCAGCAGGCACATATCCAAAAGGGCCACCCCTCACTTCTGGATTCAGCCAGGTCTCAGTAATGCATGCCAGATCCATGTTTGAGCCTTTATAAACACTATGGGATTATTTATTCCCTGATATTCTTGTATCAATAAAACTAATAGCTCTGACAATATTCTGTAGTGAAGATAATGCCACATTCAGAAAATTTAAAAGGGAACATACTTTCATAGAGCTGTATTTAGCAGCCTTTATTTTAATAGGATAGCCTAGGAAGATTGATCCATTTTGCATAAAGTACATATTTGGCAAGAAGATTTAAATGGATACATTTGGTCACTGAAAGTTAATCATTAACATCTTATCTGAAAATTCTGGGTTTTTGTTTTTTTTTATGCTAACATGATCAACACCAAAGAGGGAGAAAAGTGTCTGAACTGAGTTCAAATCATGAAGTTTTCCCGGCATCAATATTGGAATGGTTTGTCATTCTTTTTTCAAATATTTTTTCTACTTCTCAGTCTAGCCTACACAATGGTAGTTTTTGGTAGTGGTCCGTTCTATTTTGCTTAACCAGGCAAGTTTGTCCAGGTGTCTGTCTCTGTTTACGATATGATCAGCACTAAGGCTGATTCCAGTCAAGGTATTTAAGTGCCATCTCAATTTCCTTGAACTATAGTGTACGTTACAAATGCAGCTTCTAAAATACATTTTTGAATTGGCAGTATTACATTAAGATGGTAGGTATATCTATGGATATTAATCTGTAAAGACCTGCTTTTAATGCTATGAAATTTAAAATCTTGACAGTTATGTTTTCTCCCACAGCAGTATTGTCTGTAGCAGCAAAAACAGAATTTCAGATTGTATACAATAATCCTATTTCACATGCATTTAGCTTCATATCAGAACACAGAATTAACCATTTATACTGGAGAAAAAAGGCTTGCATCTCCTTAAACAGAGAGCAATATTTGAGTTCAAGTAATGACAAGGCAGCAAAGAACCCAAGCCCAAAGAATCGAGGAGTCTGCAATTTTTAAGCATGTCAAGAGCGCATCTTTTGCAACCTAACAGCCGTCCTCTACGTAAGAAAATGTGCATTTTATTTTGCAACTTGCAAGCCACAGTATTTTTCTTCTTTCTGTTTGCGGTATAGCCTATATATTAACATTACTAATGGATGACATTTCAGATTGCGCATTCCAAAAAAGGCGTTCCCCTTAGTCAGTGCTGCCTAATGCGTCAACCTACAATTAAGCAGGGGCGGAGGAACCTAGGGCTGTCCTTACCCAAAATTGCTGCAACCGCTTTAATAAAAGTATGAATAACGCCTGTAGCAACTGTTGCTAAAACTATCGCAGCTTCCAGCAGGGGCAAAGATAACCTTCCCTCCGGCGCCCAGGACGCCCTCCCTATCGCCCGAGACCAAGAGAGGTGGGACCAGCGAAAGCAGCCTCTCCCCCACCTCCCCCTCCGTTTCCCTTTCCCAGTCCATCTTGCACCAGGAATCACGTGGGGCAAGAAAGGAGACTGCTGTTCCCATAGAGATAGAGAAAAGGTTGCCCTTGCTAGTCACGTGATTTTCACTGGCCCACGGCTCCTTCCGCCAGGCTTTGCGCTGCCCGGGGGACGTAAATCCCCCCTTGCCTACCCTTCCACGAACGTCCCTCCCCCCACCACCGTGGCGAATCCGTCCAGGAGCTGCGCTCGCGCACCGACCGTACCATGGAGGTTTTTATTCCTTCGTTCCGCTATGAGGAGAGCGAATTGGAAAGGGGCTACACGGTGAGTGGTGGGCGAGCGAAGGAGCTAATGACTTCCCCCCCTCCCCCTGGCAAAGGAGGGGATGGTACTGCTCCGGGCCGGGCGTTGCTTGCCTTCTGCTGAAGAAGCGCGCGCAGGCAGTGATCCTAAATAGAAGGGATTTGCAGGAGTGATGCGTTTGGGATACCAACCAGGTCGCCGACAAGAAAGCGGAAGATTTTAGTACTAAATTGATTTTGCAGGATCCAACCTGGGTCGGGCAACGGGACCAGAGATTTAGTCTGCTATGTTTTGGGACTCGCCCTGGAGCCCATCCTCAGGGAATTTGTGCGCTTCGGGCTATTTTGGTGTGGTATTCATAGGGTGCCTGGTTATGTGTCAACAACTAAAAAAGCCACGCACAACCAGGCACCATTTAAAGACCATACACAAAATAGCCCAAAGTGCACACTCTGCTAAAGAGAGGTTACCTGAGGATGGGCTTCAGCATGAGTCCCAAAGCTCAGAAGACTAAACCTCTGGTCTCGGTGACCGACTCAGATTGGATCCTGCAACATTATCCTGAGACACCTATATTCACCTTCATTCATAAACTTATTTTGATTTTACTGTAAAACTAGTGAATGGTTGGGTTGCCATTTGAACTCCTCATTCTATATCATTGCTACCTAGTGACCCAAAGACCTGAGGGCATTCTAAGCGGACTATGATGGAAGATTTGGATCAGATTTTTAATAAAAAAATTCTGGGTCTTAGGGACAATTTATCCTTGATCATGTGTGAAATGTTCCTTAGAGATACATAAGGCAACCCATACACATAAAAAACAGCGGGTACCAAAGCAGATACAAACTGCATTTATGAAAAAATGCTTTTTTCCTCTTGTCTGGAGTCCTCTGACGTGGCTTGATATTTTTGCCCCTTGCTCTACACAGTGGAGTGCATGTGTCTGTTTTAAAGTTGTAGCTCTTTCTCTTAACTGAAGCAGCAGTGATTCTGTCAGAGTGAAACATTTAGGGTTACTTAACTTGTAGCCTAATTATTAAATGTCCCAACATCAGTTCCTGCCAAATGTCCAACTTACAAATACAAATTCTGCTAGATGGTTCCTCACAAATCATGAGTTAAACGTAGACAGAAACTGTTTTACTATCCCTAGTTGACCAAAACTAAAATTAACTTCCATCCTTCACTTCTCTCTGCGATAAGTGAGCTGATGCTAGAGACAAGATGTTGAATCTGACTTTAAATGGGAGGGGGGAAATCTCATTCATTCATAATTAAATCTGATATATAATTCAAACACGATAGAGATGTCACTTATGAGGAGCCTGCAGTAGGAATTGAGTCAGTATGGATGAGGTAGTTAATCTGAAAAATCAAATTTTGGATACTTCTGGCTTCCGCTTTGCATTTGGGGGCTTGTCTGAAAGTAGAAGTGCCTTTACCTGATTTAAGGCAATGATGCACAGTATGCAGCCATTCCTAATGAATTAGGCCTCCCTCTGCCTTAGTTAAATTAAACTGGATTGGTGCAACACACTTTATTTGGGGTTTCTATTTGGAAAATATTATTGGTCTGGAAGAATGCTGATAGGCAAATATTTGAGATGGAACCAAAATAAACAACTCCACTGATTACTGTGCCTCCTGCTCCAGATTTCTTTGCTTGACTTAGGAGACAGTTCAAAGTTACAATACAGGTAGTCCTTGACTTACAACAGTTCATTTAGTGACCGTTCAAAGTTACAATGGCACTGAAACTTGATTTATCACCGTTTTTCACACTTACAACCGTTGCAACATCCCCATGGTTATGTGATCAAATTCAAACACTTGGTAACTGACTCACATTTCTGATGGTTGCAGTGTCCCAGAGTCATGTGATCAGCTTTTGCAACCTTCCAAGAAGCAAAGCCAATGGGGAAGCCAGATTCACTTAACAACTGTGTTACTAACTTAACAACTACATTGATTCACTTAACAAATGTGGTGAGAAAGATCATAAAATGGGACAAAATTCACTTAATAAATGTTTCACTTAGCTACGGAAATGTTGGGCTCAATTATAGTCATAAGTTGAGGACTCTTCTAGTTACCTTTAATGCTTTAGTTCTAATAAGCTTGAGATCTTTTCATATAATATTCCCTAACATTTATTTACTACAGTATTCTCTACCCTAAAATCTGATGAAAGTCTGTTCTCTTGGCAGAGGCATGATGGATGAAGACAATAAAAAGAGTTACTCAGTGGCTACATTTAAACTGAGTGGCTACATTTAAACTCTGTGCCTCAGGAAGGCAAGCCAGCACTTTCTCCAATGGTCTTTCATCAGCTGGTTAAGAACTTCCTATTTATAAGACTACCAGTTCTGGGCTACTAAAACCACAAGTGGCATGAAAAAGCCCGATTTTTTTCTACCTTTTGGCTGCCATCTCAGACTTGGTAGCCCTATTAGGAAAACATTTGTTTCTCAGTTAAGTGTACATTTCATTTGATTATTTTCTGTGGTATTTGTCTGCTGCTTTGTAGGAAAATCTTACTACACATTTTTTTAAATTTTGTACTGGTTTCAGTTGTTGTTAGACTTTGTGACAGAAGGATAATATTCATTTTCATTAAAATAAAATAACATTAACTGGCCTTTTCCTTACTACATGACATTAACATTTCTGGGACTGGTAGATTTGAGTTCTCATATACAGGACTTGTCAGAACTATTGGCCAATTTTCTTGAGTAGACACTAACTTTACAGGAGAATCAGTTAAATATTTTCCAAATTTAGTAACATGCGTTCAACTCTCTCATCTTACTATTTTTGTTTAGTGGAGTTATTTTTATGCCACCTTTGTTTTTATAAATAACTCAAGGTGGAAAACATACCTAGTAGTTCTAGTATTCCTCTAATTTCCCCACAACAATCCTGTGAGATGAGTTGGGCTGACAGAGAGTGACTGGCCCAAAGTCACCCAACTGTCTTGCATGTCTAAGGCAGAACTAGAACTTACCGACTCCTGGTTGCTAACCTAGTGCCTTTTTAAGTCTTCATCCAATTCACGCTATTCTTTATTTATCACTCTATCATTGTTTGATAATGAGATTTAAACCAAAGTTTAAAAACAAAATAATATGCAGTATATGTGTAAGATTTGAGTGCACTACTTTCTACCATTTTTATTGAACCGAAAAAAGCACTAATTCTTAGCATTTTTAGTATCATTACAGCAATATAACTTTTTAGAGAAGTTATTTCGGTGCCTTTTCATTTGACAGTGGGATTCTATGCAAACTTTCTAAGGAAATTGAGTATCTGTTGTATGTGGAAAGATTGCTTAGTGATATGTTTTCTTCAAATCATACCAGTCAACATTTAAACTAACACTTTAAATTGATGAGTGGATCTCCAAACTATTGATTTCTCTGCTTAAAAATGCAACAATTGTTCATAATTTGGTACTGAATAACCTTTAAATGTAGACATTTTGTGAACATACCCTTGGGGAGTAATTTAACTTTAAAATGACACCCATGAGCACTTATTATCATTTAAGTATGATTCTTTTGCCAATGACGGAAGAGCAAATACTAGTTAGATTTTGAATGTTGATTCCAGTACGAGGAAACCACCTGAATAAATTAATTTGTGCTTGATTCATATTGATCAGAAACATTTATTGGTATGTTATAGGTCAAGGTGACATGTGTTTAATAGATCAAAGTGCAAAGTGCATATTTGACTGACAGGCTTAGAGTGTTCTTAATTAAGTTTTCCCCTCTGTTCTGCTACCTTTTAATTGCCTTCATGTAATGCTTTCTTAAACCACTTTTTAGAAAGATGAATAAGTTTACCAATCCTTAGGCCTACTCTTGCCACTTGCCTTGTCTTATAAAAGTAAGTTAATTATACTTAAATATTAAGTAAGTGTAACTCTTCACAGTCTAGTGGAATATCATGTACATATTAATATTTTTAAAAGTATTTGAAATGTGCTTTTTCTCTTTTGTAGCACTCTTCTGCATTATCAATATAGAAGTAGTACAATAGTATATATTATTATTTTTCTCTTTTAATTTTGAACTGTTTGGTCTAGACTCTAGTTCATTAAGGTCTTCTGTGAATAAAGCAATACATAGAACAGAATATAAAATACAGGCTTAATGTTGGTAGAGAAAGACACATTACTATGTATTTGGCTTAATTTTAATTTTTTTTAGTTAGCAAAACTGCACTTAAATTTTATCCCTTGAAGACTAAAATTGTTAATGCCAATTATTTTACAAATATTTTAAGAATATAGCCATTTAGGTCAAAAACCTGGTCTAAATATAACCGACTATCTGTTGTTCTTTAAAAGAATAAATGTTTGTTTCAAATGCACAATAATCCTTAGTGCTTATTTGCAGGTTTTTTAGCCTATACTAAGGAAAATTACTTGCAGAAAACATATCCACTTAGAAAAATGCATAAAAAATAGATGTATTGAGTGAATGTGTATGAACATACATATATAAATGCACATACACACACACAAAAAAAAATTGACAGGTTTCCCTGTTCCTAAGTGAAGGTCTATTTTGGGATCTGAAATAATCCAATATGTGCTTTAAATTCTGCAGTAGATATTCACACTGCATAGATACAGCTTACTGCTTTAAATGTCAGGCCTTCTCATATAGTTGATATATATAATTTCTTGAAAATATGTATGGTAGCTTTCTTTCAATAAAATTTCTAGTATAAAACATTAATTATTCCTGTTTGTCTATTTTTGGTAATAAAATTATTATTTAAAAACACAGACAAATATTTATATGCTGTAATAGGGCTTCAGACTGGAGAAAAATGAAATCCAATGTCTCCTCATCATTCCATTCATAATCTCAAAGTAAGGAGTTTGATTATGTGATGAAATAATCAATAAGATAGCTGTAAGTATGTATTGATTAGGAAAATTGGTTTTATAAAATGTAAACAAATTTCACTCTAGCTGACTTGCTTTCTTCTTTCTATCTGCATTC